AAAGATGGCAGCCTTGAGAGCAACAATACATCTCCATAGTAACTGGGCCTCTGAACATTAGGACCTTGAAACAGGTCAAACCGTGCCCGCAAACTGTGAAAATGAGTGTAAAACACAGGTGTGAAAAGGTCTCTGCGTGAGACCACGGACTCTGAAAACTGTGAGGTGATGAAGCTCTCCAAAGAGATGCAAGCGCTTGCTAGGAAGACGTGAACACTTTTTCCCACATATTCTACTCTCTTCAGTCTCAGGACCAAGTGACACGTTCAGCAAAGTCACGAGGCCGAATCCTCCCTGGACTGAAATCCAAGTCAATTTTTTCCACAGTATATATATATATATATTTCCACTGGTACACATTGAACTTAACAGATAAACACAGACAGGTGGATCAGTAAAACAACTTTTAACATTAATACACACTCTCTCAAACCAGGTTGGTGTTCCATGAAAACTACCCTCCCCTTCTGCTGCTATTTGCCTTCAAATACCTTTTTCTCAGTCTGAAACTTCTATGGAGGCAAACCGCAGAGAAAGAAAAAGAAATTTTCATCACTGGTGCAAGATCCCATTCCAGTTTGGCTGCTGCCACATTGTAGAAATAAAGCAGTTTGACGCCACTTTAACTGCCATGGCTCAGCGCAAAGGACTTGTGAGATTTGTAGTTTGGTAAGATATTTAACCTTTCCTGTTGGAGCGTTCTGGTGCGTGTCCCCCCAAACTACAACTCCCAGGATTCCACAGCACTGAGCCATGGAAGTTAAAGTGGTGTCAAAATGCTTTATTTCTTCAGTGTGGCAAGCAGCCTTTGACTGCTCTTAGCAGTTGTTTTCTTCAAAATAAAACCACACAGAAAGTCTAAGCTCCATCCTTTCAAAAGCTTGAACAACAACATAACATGTAGTTTAGTCCAACAAAACACTTCATGTTGAAAATACAAAAGAGGAAAGGAAGAAAGCGGACAAATGCCATCAGACAATCTTAAAACTTGGCCACAGTTGGAAAAGATATTTAAGATGATACACCAAATATCACATGGAACAAATTTTATCTGAGGTGGAATATGAAGGAAAGGAGAGACGTCACCAGTTATATGTTCTGGGAGGGATTTCCCCATATATATATATATATATATATATATATATATATATATATATATATATTGTTTTAAAATCTTTCCTCAATGATTAAGGACTGTATCCACACTGCAGAAATAAAGCAGTTTCAATTTACTTTCACTGCCGTGACTCAATGCTATAGAATGCTGGAATTTTGGAATAAGATCCATGGAGCAATGGAATCAATACTAAACATTAAAATTAAGAAGGATCCGGTAAGACTTTTATTAAGTATGAAACAAGATGAAACTTCAGAAAGCAAATATGGTAGACTTATTTTCTATATGACCACAGCCACCAGGATAGTATACGCTGTGAAGTGGAAGCAAAAAACAATACCTGGAATTGATGACTGGATCATGAAATTATATGATGTAATGGAAAGTGATAGGTTAACACAGATTTTACAGGAAAAAAAACACACAATGAATTTGAGAAAGTCTGGAACCCTTTTATCGAGTACATGAAACAGGAATGGGGACAACAAATAAATTTATAAGAATGAATGAATGTGGCTGAGACTTCTAAATGCTCCTCCTTAAACTGCCAATCCCAGCATTACATTGGATGGAATTTTATTAATAAATAAATAAAAGTCTCATCGGATCCTTCTTAATTTTAATGTTTAGTATTGATTCCATTGCTCCATGGATCTTATTCCAAATTTTTTTTGCCAAACTACATGTCCACCAAATATGATATGTGCCTAGTTCTAAGAAGAAGGACTGGGATTGGCAGTTTAGGGAGGCGCATTTAGAAGTCTCAGCCACAAAGCTCCAAACTACACATCCCTGGGCCCCACAGGCATTTACAATGGAATAACAGCACTACTATTCTGTAACACGAAAGGGTACCTGTTCATGTCCTGTTAAGAACAGCTTTGATACACAAAATTTCAGGGGATGAAGCATATCTTGGCACAGAGCTCACGCTGTGGCAGAAAGATTCACCTGCCAAATTTCTGCATGCCAGGCTGCCATCAAAGCCATAGGGGCAGGCCAGGCTGAATATTAAAGGAAAATGAGGGCACATCTTTGGGCACAACCATTTACACTTTGTCCTACACACCTTGTCCTGGCTCCAAGCCCGGTTTCTAAGATCTTCTAGCCTCCCATCATTCTTGCTCTTACCTTTCCCTCCTTCCCAGCTCCTCCTTGCCCAGTTTCCATCACAATTTGTAGGACACAAACCTGCTCTATAATTAAAGAGGTTCAAGCCTCTCCCAAACGGAAGACGATCCTCCCAAATGAGATTTTTGACCTACAAACATAACCCAGCCTTGTAAACAGTTCCTAAGCCTGCAACCCTTCCACACTCTCCCAATTTTAGATTTCAACCATCAGTCTCCAAGTTTCCAGTCCCTAGAGATGCAAAGAGATGCATGGATGTTGTAAAACCTTATAACTAAGAGGAGGCACTGAAGCTGTAAGCTTGTTGGTGTAAGTCAGTGGTACTCAAACTTTTTATCCTTGGGACACCCCCCCCCCATTTACGTCGACATGCGGACGTCGTGCACACACACCCACACTCCATATTATATTAATAAAAATATTTTGTTTATTTACTGTGTGTATTTTCATTCGCACGTTCACAGATATTCATATTGTAATGTTTTATAAGGAAATAACATCATTCAAATTATAACAGTTTTATTTAAGGAAATTATATATTTAACTCAACACACATGTAACAGCTTTGGCAGGGGTAGGCAACCTTTCCCCTTTAAGGGCCGAGGGACTTCAGCTCCCAGAATCCCAGGAGCTATTGGCCAACATGGGACTATTAGCCAACATGGCTGAGGCTTCTGGGAGCTGAAGTCCCTCGGCCCTTAAAGGGGAAAGGTTGCCTACCCCTGATATACTTAATAAACGGATTCCATACATTCTCAAATTTTTGAGTGGTTTCTTCTGAACAATCTGTGTTAATTTATTGCTTTCCATTAAGTCAAAATCCAATCATCAATTTCTGGCATTGTTTTTTGTTTCCATTTAGAAGCATATATTATTCTTGCTGCTGTAGTCATGTAAAAAATAAGTCTACCATGTCTCTTTTCCCATATTTCTTCTTGATTTATGTTCAATAGGTATCTTACAGGGTCTTCTGGTAACTTAAAGCTTAATATCTTTTCCACTGCTTCATGGATCTTATCCCAGATCTCCTTAGCATATTTGCACTCCCCCCTTCTTGTGCTAGCTGCAGATTTCAAGGACAGCCCTATGTAGAGAGCATTGCAGTACAGGCATGCCTCAGACCAGCCCCTGCCCCCTTGTCCTCTGTCTAGATAGATTTTTATTTTATTTTTTTGCAACATGGACATTCAGATGACAGTGAAAGAGAGATAGAGAAAGTCAGATTTTTGTGCTGGCTTGCAGCAGCATGTCTGCAATAAATAATACAATAAAGCCAGACCTGGAAAAGAATGAGATTCTATGCTTTAGCTGTAGGTGCTTACGTACAACAGGCAAGGTAAACAGCTGCCCCCAGAATGACTTACTGCAGTGTTTCTCAAACGGTGGGGTCAGACCCCCAGGGCAGGCAAGAGAGTTGCCCAAGGGGAGTGCAAGACTTGGAAGCTGTGATCCCTTCACCTCCCAAACCTTTTAATATCTAAAATCTACACATGCATTGAGTTGAATATTGAATGTTCTGAAATAAAACTGTTTGGATTTCAATGTTAAATCTCACTGTAATCTCCTTATCAAATGTTACAATATGAATATACATGAATGTGCGTATGAAAATAGGCACACTAAACAGACAAAATGTTTTTATTCGTATGCTAAGTCAAGTGGTGTGTGCATGTGTGCGCGTGTATGTGATGTCCACATGTAGATGTGCAAATGAATATACCACACTAAATAATCAAAATATTTTTAATGTGAAGTCGAATTAAAATATTTGTATTCATATACAAAGTAGAGCGGGGGGCCGATGTCCGCATGTAGATGTAAAGTGTACATCATCTGAACAAAGGGTACAGATGAGTCTTGTTCAGGAACAAGCCTCAGTTAGCTCCTTCTTTCCTCCCTGCCTTGCTCATTTTCCCAAGGGGATGTTGTTGCTTGCTGTGTTTTTAAGAGTGTGGCTCGCTGGGCAACCACATATTGCAGAGGAGTGTGGTTTGAGCACTGGACTATGACTCTGGAGACTCTGGAGTTTTGAATCCCCAGTTGGCCATGGAAACCCACTGGGTAGCCTAGGGCAAATCACACCCTCTCAGCCTCAGAGAATGGTAAAAGCAAATCCCATCTGAACAAATCTTGCCAAGAAAACCCTGTGACCTTAGGGTCACCTTAAGTCAGAATTTACTCGAAGCCACACAACAACAATAATACTGAAAAGCAACACATTCATCATGAATAAATGTGGAGCAGAAAATGAAGGGAACTCATAGCGGCAACAGGTGTGAAATCAAACAGCCAAAGTCCATCATTTAACCACAGTAGCCAATTCTTTTCTTGCAACTTGAAAATACACTGCATTCCTTTGATTCCTCCTTCAAGCAATTCTAAATACAGCATGATTTGTCATTTTGGCTTATATCTCTTTAGAAAACCACAGGGGTTAATGGGAAATTCGTAACCAAGGCCCCTACTGAGGATCCATGGCCCACGTATCACTTTCCGAGAAAAGCAAATAGCATGTCTGGAGTCTTTGAGCAAAGAAAATAACCAAGATGAATCCCATATTTCCTCTGCAGGCTCTTATAATCTATTTTCCATACGCGTGGTGCACAGAAAAGACATTGAGTCAGATTCTTGAAAAGGAAAGCTTGTAATTTAATAAGATACAAGAATTTAATAGCTCCAAACACCCCAAGAATAGAAGTTGTACAGTAAAACTCCAGAGCAGAATTCCTCATTTTCTGCCTTACAGGACAAGAGCTAATGGTGCAGTGGTTTGAGCCCTGGACTATGACTCTAGAGACCAGGGTTCAAATCCCCAATTGGCCATGATGGAAACCCATTGGGTGACCTTGTGCAAATCGCTCTCTCACATAGGAAGGCAAACCCCTCCGAACAAATAATAATAATAATAATAATAATAATAATAATAATAATAATTTATTTTTACCCTGCCGCTCTGCAGAACAATCGGGGCAGCTTACAACATTAAAATTGGGGCGGCTTACAACATTAAAATCTTGCCAAGAAAACTCCATGATAGGTTCGATTCACCTTACAGTCACCATAAGTCAGAAACAACTTGAAGGCATACAACAACAACCTTGCAGGGCAGGGTTAGACAACCCTGAGGCTTTTATTTTTGGTGTACAACTCCCATAATCCTTGACCATCAGCCATGTTGCTTGGATCTCATGGGAGTTGTTGTCCAAAATATCTAAAGTGTACCAGGTGCCCACAACCTGGATTCAGAGAAAAGAAACTCTTTCAGTTTTCTAGAAATAACAGCATTTGACCTATATATAAATCAGAGATGGAATAAAATGGTCCTCTAGATGTTTTGCATTTCAACTCCCAGAAGTCTCTACCTACAGTGGTTCCCAAATTTTGGTCCTTCAGATGTTTTGGACTCCGCTCCAAGGATTCTTAGCTTTTGGCCACAGTGACTGGGGCTTCTTGGAGGTGAAGTGCAAAACACTTGGAGACCAAAGTTTGGAAGCCACTACTCTACCAAAATAACCCCTGATAATTGAACATGTTGGTTACAGCTCAAAACAACTGAGGAGCTAAAAAATTCCTTACTTCTGTTTGATGCAGCAAGGAAGCAGCAGGTCCAATCATCTAGTACGCCTCCAAAGTCTCACTTCATGCACACAACACAACTATGTGTATAGCCATAGATGTGACCCATATACTCCTTCTCTCTCCTAATCTCTCATTATGTTCAATATGGAAACACATGGGGAGCAAGGAGTCGGTCTGTCTCAGCCACTGTGTGCCTACATAATTTAATCTGCATATAAACAGAGCAAAGAATTTACTGCCCAAATGCAATTATGCTTTATGTCGGTGAGCACCATTTGTTTCAATGGGATTTCTTCTTTTTTAAAACAGTTTTTAAATTAATTTGATGCTATAACATCTTCCACAGCAACCCCCTCCAGGATACAAATGTACACAAAGTAACTTTTAATTGATAGCTCTGCTTCTAAGTAGCTTTGCTGATATCACCTCAATGTCTAATAAATGGAACATATTTGGAGATACACTCCATTCTTATATGCAGACAGTTAATGGGATTTGAGCATTCATGGATTTTGGTATCCTTGAACCAAACCAAGGGCCCACTGTACCACATTCCTGAAAAATATTTATCCAACCTATGTTCAATTACCTTTAAAGAAGGAAAGTTCACCACCTCCTGAGGCAGTCCATTCCACTATTGAACAGCTCTTACAATAAACAACAACTTCCTAAAGTTTAGGTGGAATCTCCTTTCTCCTTCTAGTCTTTGGAGCAGCAGGAAACAAGCTCACTCCATCTTCTATGTGACATCCTTTCTATATTTAAAAATGACCATCCTGTCTCTTCTCAGTCATGTCTTCTCCAAGCTAAACATACCCAGTTCCCTAAATCACTGCTCATAAGGCTTGGTTTCTGGACCTTAAATCATCTTGGTTGCCCTTGTCTGAGAACATTCCAGCTTATCAATATCTTTCTTGAACTCAGAACCGAACATGGTATTCCAAATGAAATCAGATCAAAGAGAAAAGAAGATCCTTTTGCAGTGATCAGTAGAGTAAGCTGCAAGCAGGCACCATGTTATCTTCCCAATTGCTAATTTCTTCTTTCTTAAAAGAAAAAAAAACATTTCAGGACTAATAAAGTCCCCATGGGTAAAAGGAGATTGCCTTTAGATGACCAATCTAAAGTATTCCCCTATGACGTCCAGGGTGCAACTAGCAATTTTCATACTGAAAAACCCATTCTCAACATTTGGAAAGTCAGTGGAGGTCAAGGGATGGAGAGGAAATGCCCCTTAGACCCAAAAAAGTTGGCCATCTCTGTCCTATGGCAAGATCCTGCTAACCAAGCTTCAAATATCAGCCAGACACACATCAAGGGCTTGCTTCATGTTTTCTCAGCACTGCCAAATTCACAGGGCGGAAGAAGTGGTAATTCAGGCATCTTTGAATTAAATTGAGAGCATTAATACAGTGCTTCTCAAGCTATCTGATGTAGCATATCAGCAACCTTTTCCCTTAACTGTGCCAGGGACCAACGCCATCGTTGTGACGTGATATCATCATATTTGCACAGTTTCCTGGAAATGCTGCAGACTGGCACCAGGAGCACTGCTTTAATAGGTACTGACCAGTTCAAAGAACTAGCATACCTGTAAGTCACACAGGTTGTTTTCTCCTCCCAAGCTCCACAACCTTGAATAGCTCTACAGAGTCCTGGGCAACAGTTGTGGGCATGCTGTAATAACTCAATGTGCTATCATTAAAATACCCTGCATGCCAGAGGCAGGACATGAAGAGGGGGAAAGCCAGGCATAGCTTCACATGCATGAAAAAAGCTCTGTTACTGCTATTTTCTTACCACTGAACAACCTCCACCTCTGTTTGAAGAACCACAGAAGCGTCTGCGTTCTCTCCAACATTTCAGCTCCAATACAGCAGCGATTAGGAAAGTATTTCCCCTCTTTGCAAGTTTCAAGTTCCTTTAGCGTTCCGCTCCCATCTTTCGGTCCGAGTGGAAGCACGTCCCTGCTAGCCAGCTCCAATTGCTTTAGATATAAAGCATCTCTTTTTTTAGTGCTAGTACAGTTGTGGGTTTCTAAGCGCTGAAAACCCAAGATTCATCAGAGAAGCAGAGGAACCAAAGACACCGCTCTTACTTTGACGGAGAAGCGCATAAAGAGGCCTTTCAGATTTACAGCAGAATAGCAATACTGTCAATAGTACGCCTTCCAAAAGCCATAGAAATCCCCAAACTCTTCCCACTGAACCCTATATCTTCATTTCTTCTTGTGGATAAGAAGAAGGACTGGACTCTCTTCTGCAGCTAGCTGACTGACTGGCTGTCCTCTCACCTTCTGGTGCATTATTTACTCATTCATTTTATTTCATTTATCTGTCACCTTTCTCCTGGAGAGGGACCCAAGGTGGGTCACAAAAAGAAAAATCAAACCACAACAGTAACTTTATAAAAAAAATTAATATATTGCTATATATACTGTTTTAATGTAAAGATTTTAATTGTTTTATAATGTTATTGTTGGGATTTGTTTATTGTTCATTCTAGATGGCCCTTGTGGTCACTTCCAACACTCAAATCACTATACCACGCAGGCTCTGTGTATGTGTGTATACACACACACATAAACATACACAGAGCCTGCATAGTATAGAGCAGGGGTAGGCAACCTTTCTCCTTTAAGGGCCGAGGGACTTCAGCTCCCAGAAGCCTCAGCCATGTTGGCCAATAGTCCCATGTTGGCCAATAGCTCCTGGGATTCTGGGAGCTGAAGTCCCTTGGCCCTTAAAGGGGAAAGGTTGCCTACCCCTGGTATAGAGGTTTGAGCATTAGACTATGACTTTGGAGACCAGAGTTTGATTCCCCTCTCAGCCATGGAAACCCCCTGAGTGATCTTGGATGAGTCACATGCTCTCAGCCCCAAAATAACCCACAATAGGTTTGCCTTAGGGTCGCCGTAAGTCAGAAATGACTTGAAAGCACACAGCAACAGATATATGTATCGACACACAGAGACACACACCATGCATCCCAATATGATGCCTCCATGCAAGCAATTATTAATTAAACCCTACTTAAACAGAAAAGTCTTTGCTTGCTGGTGAAAGAAGAGCAGTGAGGGGAGCCAGCCCAGCCTTCTGTGGAAGGGCATTGCAGATGATGGAAGAAGCCACCAAGAAGGCCCTTTCTCATGTCCTCACCAAGCAAGCCTGTGACAGTGGTGAGGCTGAGAGAAAGCCTTCCCCTGAAGATTTTAGGATTCTGGCAGATTTAGATAGGGAGATACGGTCTTTCAGATAATCTGGACCCAAACTGTATAGGGCCTCAGATGTCATGAACAGCACCATGAATTGTGCCTGACAACAAACCGGTACCCAGTGAAACCATTTTAACAAGAGAGTTACATGCTCCTTGTAACTGGTCCTTAGCCATAGTAGGTACATTTCTACACCACTTATCAGTGAACTAGTACTCCCTAAGCAGTTTACAATGTGTAAGCCAATCCCCCCAATAAGCTGGGTACTCATTTTACTGACCTACGAAAGGATGGAAGGCTGAGTGGACCTTGGAGCCCTCCTCTAGGATCAAACTTACTATGTTGTGGTTGCAAGACTGGCATTTAACCACTGTGCCACCAGGGTCCTTCTCACTCTAAAAGCAGCATTTTACTGTCACTTAGGGCCTCAGCAGACGGCTTATTAAGCCGTCCTGGAGGCAGGGAAGAGGAGGGGCAGCCGCACGCTCGGCGCCCCTTTCTCCTCCCGAGGTTGCCCTTGGAGCCGCCGGCCCTTCGCACGGCCGGCGCTCCGGGGGCAACCTCCCGCCGCAGCGTCCGCACACGCTGTGGCGGATAAGTCAGTGAAAATGCACCTCACGCTTTTGGGGTGCACTTCCACTGACTTGTGAAAGGAGCACTATTTTAGCGCTCCTTTCAGGGATGGGAAAGGAGCGCCGCAGGATCGAGACGTGGGGCCGCCTCGGCCCTGCGGCGCATCTTCCCGGGGCGGTGCAGAGCCGCCAGTCTGCTTCCCCCCAAAATTATACATTAAGTGCACACTCAGTCACATTTTGGATGAGGCGCAGAGAGCTATTCACTTGCACTATCTAACACCATCACCAACAACAACTTGTTGCTATGAAGGTCATGAGGGGCCTCTGCTGCTGTTGCTTACCAGTTGTGCACGTGGGATGACTGAGGGTGCATCGACACCATAGAAACAATGCAGTTTTACACCACTTTGTGCTGCAGCGCCATATTATGGGATCCTTGGATTTGTAGTTTTACAAGTTCTTTAGCCTTCTCTGCCAAAGAATGCTGTGCCTCACAAAACTGCAAATCTCAGCCTTCTGCAAGATGGAGCCATGGCACTTAAAGCGGTGTCAAACTGCATTGTTTCTACAGTGCAGATGCACCCTAAGTTTCCAGAGGAAGAAAAAGACAGGTCTACTCTATTTTAGATGGTACCTTTAGTTCTTCCTCCACAACTGAGCTGAGGCCAGCTGCTTTCCTGTGTTATGTAGCACCTCGTCTTCCACTAGTAAGCAATAGCATCAGGCTGATAGCTGTTGGGTGGTAGAAGGATGCAGAACACAGTACATGGAGTTATGGACAGATCAAGGATCTCAGTCTAAGAGCAGAGCTGCTAAGACAAGGGGTAAATCCATAGCACACAGCAACAGCTTACTATGAGTCTATTTCAACTTTCCTATGGAATCCTGGGATCTGCAGTTTCAAGAGATTCTGAAGATTCTCTCCCAGAGGACTCAAATATTGTCATTCTAGAGAAGAGAATTATCAATACCTGGCCAAACTACAAATCCCAAGATTTCACAGGATGGAGCCATGGCAGTTTCTGATCGTAAAATGTATAACACAAACTAGTGGATTTAAGAGATTCCACCTAAACATTAGGAAGTGCTTTTTTTTACTGTAAGAACTACTAGTGGAATAGACTGCCTCAGAGGCAGGTGGACTCTTTCAACAGAGGTTGGATGGGCATCTTTCAGGAGTGTTTTAGTTGTGCACTCCTGCATGGCAGGGAACTAGATGTCCCTTGTGGTCCCTTCCAGCTCTAAGATTGTATGATTCTATGAACCCTTGTACAGCATGGATACAGCCCTGGTTAATTTGCAACTTTCAGGGAGTACTGACTGACTCCTGCATTATCTCCCTACCTGCCCACACACCTGTCATCTACCTTGAACTCCCTCCCAGCTGGCCTAATACTGTGCTCCATTTCTACAGCTCTTTCCGTGCAAAAGTACACTATGATAAGTACCAGAGAGGAAAAACACAAGTTTCCTACCACTGCACTGTCTATCACACTATAAAGTCAGAAGAACTGTCGGGAAACCTCCCTAGGAGTGGCCCGCTTTAAGCCTTTGGTGGATATTTCAATGTTCCTGCACAAGAAACCCATCAGTTTTCCACCATGCATAAGAAAAACCTAGCAACCCAGGGGAAATGCAAAGGCTACATCTACACTGCAGAATTAATGCAGTTTGACATCACTTTAACTGCCATGGTTCAATACTATGGAATTCTGGCATTTCTAGTTTGTAAGATACTTTGCCTTCTCTGTCATAGAGCTCTGGTACCACAACAAACTACAAATCCTAGGATTCCATCGGATGGAGCCATGATAGTTAAAGCAGTGTCAAACTGCATTAATTCTGCAGCCTAGGTTGAACCCTTCTCTCGATGTTATAAATAATTCTATACATGCAAGATCTCCCTACCCCCCCCCAAAAAAAATAGGGTAGCATTCAAACATACAACCTCTTCTCTATCAGCTTGCAGCTTCTGCAAATGCTGAGTAGTAGATCTACATTGATTTTGCACTTCTTTCAGGAAATACATCAAGACTTGAAGAAAAAATAAATCTCTCTAGGACACCTTCCAGAGGTAGGTAGTAGAGGTATAACAACATTTTTTAAAACAAATGTGGCATCGTCCCTTCAAAGCATCACATTTGGGGAGCACAATGCCAGGGGCTTTCCCTATGCACCTTTTCAAGGGAAAAGTGATTGTTCTGCTGCTGTACTACTCAAATTCAGTGCCAAAGTAACTTGCTTTTGAAAGGAAAATGGCTTGTTTTTGCTGGCAGCGGTACAGCCACAAAAATTGGGTGAAGGGGCCACATGCAACCCACCCACCCACACTTCAAATAGCATCTTCTGTGAAACTGGAGGCCTCTTCCATGGGAATGAAGTGACAACTCAGATGCTTCCATCTGATGTAACCTAAGAGCAGCTGTGAGCAGAAGTTTCCATCTCCTCTTGCAGGAGTTTAGATCGAAGTGAGTTCTTATTATATGCTTGGTAGCAATGTGGCGTAGAGGTTTGAGCATTGTTGGACTATGGCTCTGGAGACCAGGGTTCGAATCCCTGCTCAGCCCTGGAAACCCACTAGGTGACCCTGGGCAAATCACACGCTCTCAGCCTCAGGGGATGTCAATGGCAAACCACCTCTGAACAAATCTGGCCAAGAAAACCCTGTGATACGCCTTAGGGTTGCTGCCATAGGTCAGAAATGACTGGAAGGCACCCAACAACAAACCAACATCTCAACAGAGTCCTTCCCATACTCCCTACAGTAATTTCTGATGCTGAAGTAGTTTTGCAACACTTAGAATGAAAGTTCAAATCACTCTCTTTTTTAAAATATATGAAAACTCCTGTTTCCCTGAGTGCTCCTGAGCACTCTCTCTCACCCTCACTCTTTTTCTGTCTTCCCGGGTCCATCTACCCTGTAGAAATAATGCTGTTTGTATGCTTTGTATATGCTTGCTCCTACAGAATCCTCCAATTTGTACTTTTCTCCGGCACTAGCATTCACTGAGAGAGAAGCCTAAAGACCTTGCAGAATTACAAATGCCAGGATTCCATAGGATGGTGCTACAGCACTTAAACTGGTGTCAAACTGCATTATTTCTACAGTACAGATGCACCCTCTTTCTTGTTTTATATATATATATGTGTGTGTGTGTGTGTGTGTGTGTTTGCATTTGTGTTTTAGTATCCATTTGTGTTTTATTACCATCCAAGAGGCTATCTCCACATACCAATGTATGGTCTAAAACAGAACTTGGAATACAATTCCCAGAATCCCCCGCCCAGCATGGGCCTGAACAAACTTGATTCAGCAACCATGGCTGCATCCGCACTGCAGAAATAATCCAGTTTGAGACTACGTTAACTGCTGTGGCTCAACACTATGGGCTTCTGGGAATGATAGTTTGTTGTGGCACCAGAGCAGAGCACCAGAATTCCATAGCATGGAGCCATGGCAGTTAAAGTGGTGTCAAGCCAGATCATTTCTGCAGTGCAGATGCAACCTATGCTGGCACTAAACACATCTAGTCAGAACCAGAATGAGTAATTTCACGAGAACCTCAGGCACTCTGGTCTTAATTCTATGAAGGAACAAAAAAGTAGGATGTACATGTAATACTGGGGTAGGCAACCTTTTTGAGCCGGGGGCCAGGTTGCTGTCCCTCAGACAATTGGGGGGCCCAAGCACCAAAAATAAATAAATAAATAAAAAACATGCATGCACACTCTCTCAGCCCCAGAAAAGCCATGGCAAAACCCCTGTGGAGATTTTGCCAAGAAAACCCCAAGAACAAGTAATAACAACAATAATCATTATGGCAGGCGGCGGCGGCGGCAGGACTGGCCTGGGGCTGGTCCAAAGGCCTAGGGGGGCCGCATCCGGCCCATGCATCCGGCCCCCGGGCCTTAGGTTGCCTACCCCTGATGTAATACAATCATAATATATCACACTGCATGTAAGCTAAACAATGTCTGCCTTCTATAAGATCCTGAACCATTGACTTAACTGTTGTGATATCATAACACTGGACATTGCGTTTCCCCATACGCTCTCACGCACTTGTGTGTGTGTGCTTTCAAGTCATATTAACACAACGGTGCCTAAAGGGCCCAGGTGCTATAGGCTATATTTCAGCGGAAGGAATTGGCAAACCCATCTCTGAGTATTCCTTGCCTAAAGTAAACCCTATGAAACTGATGGGGTTGCCATAAGACAAGAGGCAGATACACATACACAATCCTTTGGTATATCATGGTTCAAGAAAAATATATATATAATCACAGCATGGCATATTATTTTTCTTCTAATACATTGCATCATCGGGGGGAATAAAAGCAGCACAGTGGTAAAAATCCATAATTTCTTGTAAAAATGTTTGTCCCAATTTTTCATATATCTAAATCTATATCTATCTCTACACACACACACACACACAAGGTAAGTGCTTAAACTTTCAAGGACCCCTGCACAGTTACAAACAACATCACAAAAACTGCTTTCTGGATTAGCAGATTTCTCCAACTTCATTCTACAAAACCAGAAGCCAGACTGAAGAGGGAGAAAGAAACAAAGATAATAGAAGAAAAAACCATAATTATTTTAACCAAAAAGCACACCTTAGGAAATGCAAAAGAAATCTCAACTTTTCCAAGCACTAAACCTCTCAGAAACAAACCCCCTTTACACAGTGGAAAAACTATATCCTACTTGTGGAAAAACTATTTGTAGAGTATCAAAGGGCTCCCTAAAGCATCAGATCCCATCTGATCTTGGAAGCTAAGCAGGCTCTGCCCTGGTTAGTACTTGGATGGGGAACTGGCAATGAATACCAGGTGCTGTAGGCTGCATTTCAGAGGAAGGAACTGGCAAAACCACCTCTGGATACTCCTTGTCCAAGAAAACCTTATGAAATTTATGGGTGACAGCCAACTTGAAGGCATACATACACACACAATGTGCTAATAATGTGCTACATGAAGGAAGGGATAGTGAAGGAAAGCAGGATCATGGCACAATTCCCAACCACAACACATCAATTGACCAATCCTGCCTTTTTCATCATGCATTTCATGCTATTTCCACAGGAGCATTATGTCCTTTGCTTGTCTGAGGTTAATACACCCTCCACACATTCCTTTCTTTCTTTTCCTGCATACAAACCAAATATATATTCAAGCACTGGTTGGGGTAAAGAAAGAAAGCAAACTCTGCACATGTACAATGGAACTCTTAATCAAGCAATCATTTTAGTACAGTCGATGACCCTATTAAATGACCATATTCCCAAATTCATAGGAATGCATGATACGAATTTAATGATCTAACTCCCTCCCGTGTTGCTCGACCAGGGTGACCAGATGTCCTCCTTTTCCAGGACATGTCCTCCATGTCCACCTTCACTCCAGGAAGAATTTCAAAATGTCCTCCCTTTTGAGCAGGACTAAGAAGCACGAATTTGCATTCATATTAGTGCTTTTTCACTTTAATTTCTCAATTCCCTCCACTTTTCTTAAATGTCCTACATTTTGTGGTGGTGACATCTGGTCACCCTGTTGGGCTGACCTCTGCCAAAAATGTACAAGCATTGCTCTCGATCTTTTTTGGGGGGGACTGCAACTCCCAAAATCCCCACCTGGTGGGATCACTAGCCATGCTGGCTGGGAACTGCAATCCAAAAAGAAGAATTTTTCCAAGCTCTGGGGGAGTCCCTCTGCTCACCAGAGAAATAAAATAAATAAAATACACTGAAAACTGACTTCAGAGATTTCCAGGAAGTGAAGCAGCTGCGCAGGCAGAGCAACACAAAAGTTACTTCCTTCTTTTCTGGAACAGACAAATGCAAAGGCAAATCAAGTCCCATCCACACTGTAGAAATCATCCAGTTTGAAACCGCTTCAACTGCCCCTGGCTCAGTGCTAGGGAATCCTGAGAACTAGTTTTGGGAGACCCTTAGCCTTAGCTCTGGTGCCACAGCAAACTACAACTCCCAGGATTTCCCTAGCACTGAGCCAAGGGCAGTTAAAGCGGTCTCAAACTGGATTAATTCTGCAGTGTGGGTTTTGGACCTCTCTTGGGTATCTTTGCAAGCTTTCAGAAGAGGGAAGGAGGGTCGCCTTGTTGCAAAGACTGGCTTTGCAAAGGGGTCAGCTGAAGGTTGGCCCTTTAGCAAATGCAAACCAAAAAGTCCATCAAAAAAAATTGTGCCTTTTGGTTGGCCAAGAAAGGTATCACTGGTGGATTTTTGTTGGCTTTGCAGAGGCAAAAGACAAATGCACAACAGGAAACAGAAGAAGACATGGCAGGGATGTGGAAGGAAGGAAGGAAGGAAAGAAAGAAAGAAAGAAAGAAAGAAAGAAAGAAAGGAGGAGGAGGATTAGGAAGTTTTTGCACTCCAGATAGGAAACCTCATAAAGAAAGAAATCAAGGAACCACAAGAAAATCAAATCGGATCTAGCAATCCAAGCTGGGAAAAAGTGATCACGAAGGTTTGTACTGGAGATGTTGGAATAAAGTTGCCATTAAGTTGCCCTCCAAAGGAACCCCTTGATCAGCATAAAAAGTAACGAAGAAAGGAAGCAAATCTTACCCTTTCTTTCTTTCTTTCTTTCTTTCTTCCCTCTTCTCTTTTTTTCCGCAGGAAATGCTTAATTAGCTCGCGGGTGGCTTCGTCGACTCCATGTCTGAGAAACTTATTTTCCCCCCCTCCACTCAAAAAAATAAAATTAAAATTAAAATTAAAATTAAAATTAACAAATCTGGAGAGGAGAGGAGGCAGAAAAAGCGATCCCCAAAAGTGGGAGGGAAGGAAAGAAAATTTAAAAAGGGGAGAAAAAAGGAGGAAGGGGAAAAAATCTTTTTAAATTTTTTATTTTGGAAATGGATCGTACCTTCCTTAAACTTCCAAAAAGTGAGAACAAACGACACCCCCTTTGGAAGGGATTTTTTTTTGGTTTGTTTTTTTTTTTTTTTTGGAAATAAACGTCTTTTTTCAAAGTCGGGGTGCAATCAAAGACACACAGAAAAATGCAATAGTTTCCTCTTTGCAACGGTGTCCACCCCTTGCAAAAAAATACCATTAAAATGAAAATGAAAAAAATAAAATAAAACATACAACCACACCAAAAGGCAAAAAAAAAATTACTTAGGCAATGAGGAGGCTTCCATCGCAGGCAAGACTGGGAAAAAGGAAGGAAGGAAGAAGCAAAAAAAGAAGAAGGGAGATCGGTGGATGCTGATCATGAAGCTTTGCAAAAGAGAACAACTTGGAGCAAG